TCTCTCTCTCTCAAAAAAATAAATAAATAAATAAAATCTTAAAAAAAAAAATAAAACAAGAAAAAAGCAAGGGCTTCTATTCTAGAACCAGCACACCATATGAGAACTGGAATTTGTGTTAAGACCACTCACTTTTGAAGTATCAAGTCACGTAAATACTTAACATTATAAAGAATGATAGTTGGGGAAAGAAGTCAGAAATCACAATTATGATTTTTTTTAAGTAATCTCTATACCCAACGTGGGGCTCGAACTCATGACCCCGAGATCGAGAGGCACAGGCTCCACCGACTGAGCCAGCCAGGCGCCCCATAAATCACAATGATGATTTTATGCCCGCAGTTATGTAACAGCCAAGCAACAGAGCAATTCCCTATTTACACACTGTTCTTTACTTTTTTAGGTCATTGGCCACAAAGTATATGTAATAAAGAGCTTGTGCGTGAAAACCTTATTAACTAAGGCCAGATCAAACACTGTTTAGACAAAACTGCAGAATAAAAACATACAAAATACAACGTGGGCTGCATGGTCGGAAAGTCTGTGTCCACCCCAATATGATGGTGTTGGAGGTGGGTTCTTTGGCAGGTCATGAGGCTGGAGTGCCGTGAATGGGATTAGAACTGTTATAAGAAGAGAGATGAGTGCTTGCTACCTCTCACTCTTTCCATCATGCAAAGACACTGCAAGAAGACAGTGTTCTAAATCAGAAAGAGAATGCTCATCAAGAACTGAGCTGACTAGCACTAAGATTTTGGACTCGCCAGTCCCCGGAACTGTGAGAAATAAATTTCTGTTAGTTAAGCCATCTGGGTTATGGTATTTGTTATGGCAGGCTGAGCCAAGACATGGGCAAAAGGCCAACTGATTAAAATCATGACAGAAGGTTGCTGCATCTTACTAAGCAAAGGAATTTCCGAGACTTTACTATAAAACATGGAATATTCGAAACCTTCTAATAGCGCTAACATGGTTAAAAGGGCGCCTGGGTGGCTCAGTCAGTTAAGTGTCTGTCTTCGGCTCAGGTCATGATCCTGGGGTCCTAGGATTGAGCCCCGCATCTTCGTCAGGCTCCCTGCGGGGAGTCTGCTTCTCCCTCTCCCTTTGCCCCTCCCTCCACTCGTGTGCATGCGCGCTCTCTCTAATAAATAAATAAAATCTTTAACAACAACAACAACAAAAGCGTTGAAGTAAATTATCACTATTTTTTTTTTTTAGTAGGCTCCATGCCCAGAGTGGAGCTCAGCGCAGGGCTTGAACTCACAACCCTGAGATCAAGGCCTGAGCCAAAATCAAGAGTTGGATGCTTAACTGACTGAGCCAACAAGGAGGCCCCAAATTACCACTGTTTTTTAAATAGGGCCAGCAGGCACACGGGGTTTGTGTTTCTAACTCCTATTTATAGAAAAAGTTATAGAGAAACAGGATTGACCTGGGCCTGCAGGTTCAAACAATGTGTTCTTGTGCACGACTGCCCACATGTCACAGTCAAGATCACAAGCTCTGAAATAAATACTTCGATGGAGACACCAGAGCTGAGTTGTGTTGCTAACAGTGTTACTCAGCCATCCTGAGTACCTCGTCACCCCTTGCACATATAAATTTCCATAGTGTCCTGAAACAGTGATACAGTGGATAAACAGGGATCTTTCCTTATACAGTGAGAGCAGTGTGGCTGGTGAGGGGGTCCTGTGGGAATGAGGGTGTTTAAGAGTACAAAATTAATATGCTAGTAAGCAATACTGTAGTCCATCCCAATGGAGGTACCATGTAAGGAAAGGCCAGAAGGAAGGTGAGGAGTGGAGGGCAGGAAGTCAAGAGCACATGGGAGAAGTGACTGAACTTGCCAATCTATGGGAAGATAAATGTACCAGGGCAGTTAGAATTGCGGCCTTGGAAAAAAAGAAGGAACTGATGTGGCAAATACTATCATGCTCCCCCATTCTTAACTGCAGGAATTATAGTATGGATGTGGGACAAAAATGGAAGACATTTAACACGGAGGGAGCGTGATGACGAGGGAAGAAGCCATGTTTAGAAACAAGGGAGGATGGGTGGGTGCTGAGGGCGAGGCAGAGGGGAAATGGCGAAATGCTGGTAAAAGGGGACAAAATTTCAGCTACATGGTGAATAAGGTGTGAGGAGCTAATGTACAACATGGTGACTATAGTTGATAATATGATATAACTGAAATTTGCTCAGAGAACAGGGCTTAAGTGTTCTCACCAAAAAAAAAAGAAAGAAAGAAAAAACAAGTGAGGTAATGCGTCTTACTTGATTATGGAAATCCTTTCACAATGTATGTGTATTTCAAATCATTGTGGGGTACACTTTAAATATATTACAATTTTCTTTGTCAATTACACCTCAGTAAAAACTGAAAAACAGTTTCAAAATTTTATCCACCCACTGCCTCCTCTGAAGACTTAGAGAACAGTTTATATAAATATCTCACTTTCTTCTAAGAACTACGGAATCAAAAGCACAAGGGTAGAACAAATGGAACTGGATATTTTGTTTTTCGTAATATGGTTTTATGCATCCGTGAGCTCCGGCACCATGCCTGATTAAGTGCGCTGATCATCGGAAGAAAGTGTAAATGAAAAGTCCAGATGCCACATTCATTTCTGAGTCAACAGGGCTTCGATCTCAGTCAAGCAGGGCAGGGGCTCCCGGGCAAACAAGGGAAGATACAAAGATACCCAAGGGCAGACCCCCACTGCCGGAGGGACATTTTGCTCACCCAGAGAGACCAGGTTCCTGTAGTTCTCCACCATCACGTCCCTGTACAAGGCCCTCTGAGCAGGGTTCAGGCACTCCCACTCCTCCTGAGAGAATTCTATGGCCACATCCCTGAAGGTCAACCATCCCTGAAATGAGAACACATTTCGCCAAGGAACTATGGAGAGAGTTCTTATCTTCACATAAAATGAGAAGAGGAGAGATGTGTAAGGATGGATTCAGATGAAGTGGGTGTTCTTACAGATCCACATAAGGTATTTCTGAGTAAGTTATGTGTCCCTTATTTTGGCCTATTATACTTTTCCATAAGAGGTTAGGATGGCTTCTCAATCAATATGGCTTTTTTCAGTTTTGTGGACAATATAAGAAATATAAAAATAGGAAATCAGGGGTGCCTTGCTGGTTCAGCCAGAGAAGCATGTGAGCCTTAACCTTGGGGTTGTGAGTTTGAGCCCCACATTGGGTGTAGAGATTACTCAGAAAAAATAAACTTAAAAAAAAAATAGACAATCAGTACAGGGCTACCTGTAAGAAGTGTCATTTCTCGTGTTTTACACACATATTCAATATCTTAGATGAGCTAGGGCACGAGCGGTATCTTCAGAGATGACAATGTCCACAATGACTTTAGAGAAAGGCCAGAATCTAAAAACTGGGATAATGATAGCAACAGCAATGAATAAAAGCTCTTGAATGCTTCCCATGTGCTAGGCATTACACTAAATGCTTTACACACACTAATTGTAACAACATCGTCACTCATTAAAGACAGATCTGTTCCCATCATCCTGAGGAGACAGCTGTGTCACACACATTCCCCGAAACCCACCCAAGGTCAAATGCTAAGAAATGGCAGAACAAGCTCCTGAATCCAGATGTCTAGGCTTTGGAATTGAACTTGAACAATTAAACACATATAGCAGACGGCATCAAGAGTACGCTAACAGAGGGTTCCCTGAGACAATTTGAAACAAGTTCAAGGCTAAGAACGTGGACATGGATAAAAGGTCATTATACATGAACACACATGCACATAAATGTCATTCTTCTTATACTGTTTAACTCGTGTTAGAGTAGGAAAAATGTAAAGCCATGGAAAAGATTAAGTTTAGGTTGGGGCGCCTGGGTGGCTCAGTCGTTAAGCGTCTGCCTTCGGCTCAGGTCATGGTCCCAGGGTCCTGTGATCGAGCCCCGCATCGGGCTCCCTGCTACGCGGGAAGCCTGCTTCTCCCTCTCCCACTCCCCCTGCTTGTGTTCCTTCTCTCGCTGTATCTCTCTTTGTCAAATAAATAAAATCTTTAAAGAAAAAAAAAAAGATTAAGTTTAGGTTAAGATTTAACCTCAACAATTAATAACTTATTTATGAAGTAATGTTAATGTCCTTTCAAAAACTAGGGGCTTGCGCATCCATGCATTCATGCACAAACATATATATATATATATATACACTTAAATGTACTGAAATAAGAGAAGTCGTCTCTCCATGACACAAAGGGGCCTCCTCACAGGCTCCACGTCATTGAGTCAGCTTGAGATGGACTCTAAGTGGAAGGAGAGGGACTGAGGGAAGGCCTGGGGGAGTGTGGACAGACCCAGCTCAGGCGGGACACTTTGGAGTCAGAGAAGATTAGTGAGTCCAGCAAGGGCACAGCAGGATTGAGACACAGAAAATCAACCAAGAATATGACTTTACCTGACAAACAGCCATTCCTGACTCCCTCCTTTCCTCTTCCTCCTCCTCTAAGCTGCTTCTTCCTCAGACAAGATCAGTCTTGAGAATTCAATCCTAAGGATCAAGAATCTGCAGTTTAATGCTTAGAATCAATCTACGTCCTTCCTGCAGCACAACGTCACACAGGGAGACCTCTCCGTGTGGAAACGACAGTCCTCTGCTGCCCACTGCCACAGCAGGGGGGCTCAGGGACAGTGAACTGCTCCAGACACCAACAAGTGAGTGTCCCCACCCCTTTCTTCACAACTGGCTCCCACCCTGGTGAAACTCCCCTCCCCCCCCACTGCAGCAGTGGGGACCTGGGCTGGACCCGACGTTCCCCTCCAGGTCACAGACCCGCCCTGATCACACCCACGCAGAGCAGGGCCCCCTCACCTCTCCCTCAGAAACAGAGGACCAGAGCCTTGGTGCTCAATGCTGGATACACATCAGAAGCACCTGGGACACTTCAACTGGTACTGAGGCTGGGCCCTATCCCCCCTTGACCACTGGAAGGGGACTCTCTGGGAGGGCCACAAGAGCTGTATCTGCAATCCAGTGTGAGGCCAGCCCAGCACACCTCCCACCTTCTGGCTCTGCCCGCCCCTGGGGCCCTGTTGTCACCAGGACCCAGACCTGGAAGGGGAAGGGGCAGAAGGGAACACGCAGGGCAGGCGGCAGAGGTCGGGGGGGGAAGGGTGGGCAAAAGACTCCCCTGAGAAGGCGGTATCAGATCGAGGACCTGGGCGAAGGAGGGTATTTGCCCCCTGCATCTGAGGGGCCAGACAGTTCCAGGCAGAGGGATAGGCCCTGGGAGGGCCCTGAGGCAGGAGCAAGCCTGGGCCCAGGAAAGGGGAAGAGGCCAGCATGGCTGCAGTAGGGTGACGGGAGGACCGGCAGGAGACAAGGTCAGAGAGGCCCCCGGGGAAGCAGATCAGGAAGGGAGTGGTCCTCCAACATTTGCCTCCCACATCTTGAAAGAACTTTAGAAACCATGTATTCCTCCTCTCATTTTTAGCAAATTATCCAACTCTCTTCATCTTATACGTTAAAACATTTACAAATACTGCAACATCTTATATTTAGAATCATGCCAAGATGTGCACCTAGGCCTCAGGAAGTACAGGGTCGCCCCTAACCAAGATGTGGAGAACGCAGGGGGATGGCCCCTGGGGCAGGCTGAGTCAGTTTTGCACAAATTAAGATGCACACGCCCCAGCAGAGATGTCGAGCAGCTGGACACGGGATGGAGGTCAGGGCAGAAGTCTGGTGGAGAGCGGAACCTGAGAGACATGCAGGTGGTGTTGAGAACCAGGAGAGGAGGGGATGAGGAAAGGCAGGGGTGTAGACACAGAAGAGGTACAAGGACTAGACCGTGGGGCGCCCCACACCCAGAGATCAGGCAGTTCGGCAGACACCAGCAGGAAAGCTGCGAGGCGACAGTGATCGGGAAACCAACAGGCGGACAGAGTAGTAAAGCTTAGCGGGACGTCCTCAAACCAAGAACAAACGTGTCCAGGAAGAGGGAGCGCTCACATGGGCCACCTGTGTCCGACGGGAGAAGCAAGATGAAGGCAGGAAATTCAATCCTGGACTGAGAAATGGGGTCACTGGGACTCTGAACGAGAAAGTCTCAGGGGCGCAGTGGCTGCTGAAGGCTTGACTGGATGGGGTTCACGCGACAGCTGGAGGCGGGATTTGAAGAGAGTAGAAGCAAGCTTTTAGTGGCTGGTGTTCTGAAAGGGAGCGAGGAAGAGGAGGGCTTACTAGAGGGGCAATTATTTAACAGAGAATGTTTTGTTTTAAAGAGGCAAGAAGACAGTGAATACAAAGCTTTGGGGGGTGTGTGCGTGTGAAAGATGGGCAAAACCACCATCTGTGTATGCTGACTGAATTAAGTCCTGACACACACAAACTGAAGACGCAGTGGGGGAAGGATGCCATACAGTCCTGAGACAGTGAGTGGGGCTGGTGACCAGGGAACAATCTCAGGCACACAAAGTCATACTGGTACATTCTCTGGCATGGCCTTCATTTGGGGGGACTGAAATGTGCAGGAGTCCTGTGTGTCCTTGGAACAGTCTTCATCATGAGGGATGGGGGAGCTGACCAGGAGCGGGAAGCCAAGAGTCTGGGGCACCTGGCTCAGTCAGTAGAACATGTGACTCTTGATCTCAGGGTTAAGTCGAGCCCCACACTGGGCATAGAGCTTACTTAAAGAAAAAAAAAAAAGAAAGCCAAGAGTCCTTCACTCAGACCCTCCTCCCTCTCGACAGATGTCTACAAGGCTGCACATGCCCCAGTGAGACCCCGACATCTTCTAAAAACACTGCAAGCTCTCATTTAGATCCTCCAAAATGCATCTGAATCGTTCTTGACTTGCAACCCAGAATAATCCAAAATAGCAAGTCATCCCCCACAAGGTTCTCTGAGACCGTTCCTCCAAATCCTCTGTATTGGACGATGAGTCTTGCATTCCTACACAGAACTCAATGAGTGGCTCTTGCACAGACCCCACAGAGGTCCCCGTGTGGAGCGGACGCTGGGGGGCAGCTCCCGATCCACCCCCTCAGGACCAAGGCACCATCCTGCTGCAGCCAGCTCTCCCTGGGGACGCAGCTCAGGCCTCGGTTCTACCAACAGCACCGGGTAACGTGTCTCTGCCGAAGCCCAGTCCCTTCGTGCCTCCTCGGCTCTCATCCCGAGTCTCCCGATAAACCCCAGCGGGCAAATCTCAGTCTCAGCGTCTGTGTCCCTGGGAACCCGCACTATGACAATGGCACCCCACACGGACCCGTGCAGCCCCACTTCCAGGTGCTCCTGCTAGAACCGAGACACCCCTTTCCCACGGCTGCACCCATCCCTCAACCCCACAACCGTGCTTGGGACACGTGCCCATGCCGTTCACCGGGCCACCTAGAGGCCCACACTGGCTTCCACGTCGCTCCTGCAGACCCCTCCAGGCTCACTTCCATTCCCCCCCATGTTCCTACCTCTCCTGCAGGCACACACGAGCAAACTGGGCTAAGGCGCAGGGACCACAGCAGTAATGGACACGAGGGCAAACTCAAGGGCGCCGGGCCTTCAGTACGGACACCAAGAAGTTGGCCCTGCTGGGGACACTTGTGAGCAACCGGGGACAACATGGAGTCCAGTTTAAAAACAGTCAAAGATTGGCTGGATGCAGTTCAGTGAGGACGTCAGAGACAGAGCAGCCCCCAGATCTCTCCTCCTCGCCCCACTCCCAGCCGATTACAAGAGCCTCCAGTTCTTCAGCGTGTCTGTTTTATGGCCCCTTAGGCTCCTGACCTTGTCCCCAGCCTTCCTGAAGGGAAATTAGGATCCTTGACCCTGAGCAGATCAGTGCTGGAAGGCAAAGCCCCTGCCTGAGATGCAGCGGCTCCCTGGTGACGTGCACGGTGCGGATGACGCGGGGGCCGGCAGAGGGCAGTGACACCGCGGGTGACACATGTGGGGACCCTGGTCTGCAGGGCTTTCTGGGCGTCAGTACATCCCGTAAAATAAGCAGCCATGCGAGGGTTAGATCAATTGGTGCTGAAATTTCCAGAATAATGGGCACCATCCTCATCACCTGCCCCAGCTCCTCGGTCTCCCTGAGGACTACTCAGCGCAACCCACAGCCCTAGCATCTAAACACGGCCCCAGAGGAAGGTGCGGCAGCCAGTCTGGGCGCCCTCCACTGTAGGGA